TGCCTTGGCTCTCCAGACCATTCCTGGGCTGGTTCTGGGCTGGTTCTGGGCTCCCAAACCATTTTGGGCTTGTTTATTTTTGGCTGTTAAAGGGCTGCTTTTGGGCGGGGCAGGGACTTTAAACAGCACCAAGTTCTTCAGATGAAAACAATGGGCATACAAACTTGCATGTCCGCTTGTGAAGTACACAATTTCTATGTATTTTTGTCTTGAGGGTTTAGGGTGTAGGGTTTAGGGGGCAATGACCTTGACTTCCATGTTGAGCTGCAATCTAAATTCCTGGTATCCCCCTTAATGACCCCTTTAATACTCCCTTATACAATCCCCTATATAACCCCCTTTAAGAAGTTTAGACTACAGCTCATGGGACAATGAAAAGCTAGGCAACTATCATACCTAGGGTTTAGGGTGTAGGGTTTGGAGGCAATGGAAACCACCATATCTAGGGTTCAGGGCTTAAAGGCAGTGGAAACTGCCATGTTGTTCAGGGTTTGGGAGAGTGGAGAGGAAAATGGAAACTACCTTGTCGTTTGGGGTCTGGAGGTAGGGTCTAGAGGAGTTTAAAGCTTAGGGGGGCTTTCCAGACGAGGACTTTGGCAACCCAACCCTAGAATAAGGAGCCTTTACCAGTCACATGATAATCAAAGGGTCCTTAATTATTTGAGGGGAACCAAAATCCACTGATTATCCTTGCAACTATTTCTTAGGTAAACCCAAATCTCTAAACCTCAAGAACTCTAAGCCCCTTCGACCCTGAAACCCTAAGCCCTAAATACCTAAAACCCTAGACCCAAAACCTTAAACCCCAAACCCGAAATCCCTGAAACCCTAAATCCCTAAATCCCTAAATCCCTAAACCCTGAATCCCTCAATTCCTAAACCCTAAATCCCTGAAACCCTCGCCCAAACCCCCAAAACCCCCCTTTTCTCCCATGGGCTCCCCACTTCTCATAGGCCCCAAGCTCCCTCAGCCGGTCCGTGAGGTCTGGCAAAGGAACAGGCACGGCAGTCACGCCTTTCCTGGGTTGAGGGGGTAGGCTTCAGGGTTTGGGGGATGAATGTTTAGGGTTTGGGGTTTGATGTTTAGGGTGTAGGGGTTTTGTAAATTGAGGACTGAAGGTTTTGGTAAAGGACCTTCTCAAACTGCAAAACGTAGTCTGAATTCTCCAGGAGTAGAGTCTGGTGCACAGCTAGTAGGGTTTCAGGGTTCCAGGGTCTGTGGGTTATAGGGCCTTTGGAAGGTTAAGTAAGATACCACAAGTTTAACCTATGGTTTCCTGAAGGCGCATAGCTCTTGGCAACTGTTTTTCCCTCAATATCCCAACCTCTGAACTCCAAACCCTGAACTCTGAATCGCTACACCCTAGATCCCTAAATCCTACTGTAACTCCCCGACACTCCTGACTCCCCAACATAAGCCCCCAAAACCCTAAACCCTAACCCCTAAAACCCAAAACCCTAAACTCAAAACCCAAAACTCTAAAACCCTAAAACCCTAAACCCCTAAACCCTAAAACCCTAAACCCTAAACCCTAAAACCTAAACCCTAAACCCTACACCCCAAAATGGCAACCCAGCATCCTTCCTGTGAAGCTTATGGAGCTGATGGAGGTGTCCACGCCCTTCGAGGGCATTGTCACCTGCTGGCTCCCGTCCGCCGTGGCCAGCGCAGGGAGAACCAAGGACATGCCTGTGTAAGGGGTTTAGGGTTGAAGGTTAAGGGTTCAGGGTTTAAGGTTAAGGGTTTAGAGTTTAAGGTTAAGGGTTTAGGGTTTAAGGTTAAGGGTTTAGGGTTTAATGTTTAGGATTTGTCTTTAGGGTTTAGGGCTTGGAGTCCACAATGTACTGAAAGGGCCGAGCGGTTCCATATGAGCTATATTATATGACCTTCTAGTATCTCCCTTAATAACCCTTCTAATACTCCCCTATACAAACCCCCATATACCCCTTCAAGAAGTTTAGACTATAGCACATATTTTCAAGATGTACTCCCAAAGCTTGTAAACCTATACTTCCAGTAGCACATAGTTAGTCTTGACCTTCCATTAACAAAAGTTGCGCACACTCCCTGATTTTCCGAATACACCTAGAAACAAATCCTAAACCCTAAACCTCAAACCCTAAGCCCATAACCTTAAACAATAAAGCCCAAACCCTAAACCAAACTTTCTGAGGCCCGAGCCCAGAAGACTCGAAGCAACCCGGAACTGCCTTAGCTTACTGCTGGTCAGTAGGGAATAAAAGAATGGATAACAAGAGTTGGTTTGAGGTTTGGGGGGGATTGTATCGGGACTACTAAGTCAGTAGTTACTCCACTAAGAAGTTGAAACAGGGCGTGTGGTTTAGAGCTTTTTTTTTTGTCAGCGCTCTTTTTTGAGGTTAGGGTTTGGCGTTTAGGGTTCTCTTCAACTCTTAAATGGCCTAGCCCAACTGGGTCAGGGGGTAAGGTTTGGTTATGGCAATACGGTCAAAGTAGCAGCCTACCAGCTAGACACAACTGCAGTATCTTTTGCGTGGGGATTTCCGCCCAAAAGAGGTCCGCAATTTCTACCTTACCTATTCTTCCCCACCCGTCTTCAGGCCGCTGCAGAAGATCCCGAGCATCCACAGGCAGCACCGTCCTGATGCACTTCACTGGCCACAGACCCAAGTACAAAGCTTTCTGGGGTGGTGAACAGAGACTGCAGGAGTGCGCTGCAGGGATTACTATTTCAATGGATTGCAGGTGTTCCTACTATTTTCATTGCTTTATTATCTCTTTAGTTTTGCTACTATTATTGTTGTTATAGATATTATTGTGAGTGTTACTCATCTTGTCATTATTCAAATTATCCGAGGACTAGCATTCCCTACTCATCACCAGCAAGTAAAGCCAAACTCCAGGCCCCTGGCAGCTCCACCACTGCAGCAAGGAGGCCTTGGGCTTCTGAAAAGAAAAAAGGCTCCTGTTTACCATTATCACTACTATTACTTACTACTATAACTCCTGGTATTACTAACTATTACTGTTACTACTAAATTCTTACTGCTACTATCACTACTATTCTTGCCACTACTAAATTATTTCTACTATTATTACTACTACTATGACTGAGGCCTGTAGTAGGGATCCAGAGAACTTCTTGGGTAAAGACGAATTTTGAAAAGCCCAGGAGCCCAGCACGGGGGAAGCGAGATTCAGAAGCAGTGCTTGCTTACTGCTGGCAAGTAGGCGTAGGCAGTTGAGGAATATGGGCTATCAGGAATAATTGACAAAGGATTCTAGCGCGGCGACTAGAGGGATCTCTAAACTCTCAAGCCCAAATTTCAGAATGTTTAAAGCAAATCTGCCCCAAATCATAAATAACGGTAATATCCCCTACCCCATTTTCGGCTAACAACCAATCAGCGGAGCTGAGCCCACAGCAGGCATACATCGTGGAGGTGACGGTTGTGGCAAGTTGCATGCTGCTGCCTAGGCAGATCCCAGAAGCTAGGGTTCAGGCTTGAGGGTTTAGGATTTAGGGCACTGACGAAACTGCAAGGCTCAACAACTTCCTTGGCAGGGAAAGGGGGACAGGCTTGTCATGGACAATGATAATGGATGATGGACGGAATATAGAGACTAACCCTAAACCCTAAATCCAGCCGTTCCCAAACTCCCTACCAGGCACAAGGCTCAACAAGCCCAACTTGGGGGTGATTGGCAGGGAATAAGGGAATATTCTCCCTGTTCTCCCTGTATAATCTTTAGGAAATTATATTCAGGGAACATAATCCCACACAATCCTTATATGATATTGTCCATTCTGCGCTATTAACCCCCAGTAAGCCAAGCTCAAGACCAGGAAGGCAAGATAGGAACTTGATGGCTGTGAAGGCTGCGCAGAAGCCCACCTTGTTTACTACGAAGCTTGGCGCAAAGCAACATAGGATTTAGGGTTTAGGGTTTAGGGTTTAGAGTTTAGGGTTTAGGGTTTAGGGTTTAGGGCTTAGGGTTTAGGGTTCAGGGCTTAGGGTTTAAGACCTAGGCTTTCTTAGCCAAACCAAAGTCAATGGAAAATGGGGAAGGGATCCCTGTAGCTGTCCCTCTATCATCCCTATCAAAATCCCTAGGGTTATGGTTAGAATCCATTGACAGCCCATCTTTCTGCCAAGGAACATAGGCGTAAGGGCCCTTGCGGAAGTAGACGAGCATCGTAGCAAAGGCCCACACGCCGATGCAGGCGAGCGTCACGGGTAAAGCTCCCTGGCTCTGTAGGTTTGTCACGCTATGCTCTGCTCATTATGCGACAGCCAGGCGACTCTCTAGGACTGGGCTGGATTCTGTGAATTACTATGTTGAACCCCAATATGTACCCTATTATCGTATAGAAGCTTCCATTTTCTTTTCCATTACCCTTAAATAAACCCAATATGCACCCTATTATTATAATATAGTAGGTTCCATTTTCTGGATCCCTTGCCTCAGCCCTGAAGCCTAAGCCCTCATTCTCCACCAAGCACCGGGTCGACGAAATGTCTTCCTGGCCTCCTCCGCGAGGCTCAAGTGTCGCAGCAAGCTGCCGACCTTGCAGTACAGCAAGGTTTGCAGGCAGTCTGGAAGTATCGGGTTTAGGGTTTGGGTATAGCTTGTAGTAACAGCAATGGTTTCGGGTTTAGTTTTCAGACAGGTTGGAAGGAATTTATAGCATTTTGGAATCACCGGAAGAAAGCCAGCAGCCAAGAAGAGCTTGTTCAAACCCGAGCCTCAACCCCATCGCCTGAATCCCAAACCCCAAACAAACCCCAAACCCTAAGGGAAAGACAAGTCTAAGACCCCAAATCATATGGCCTAAACACTCAACCCTAACCCCTAAACCCTAAACCCCTAGATCCTACATACTAAACCCAAAAACCCAAAACCCTAAACCCTAAATCCTAAACCCCTAAACCCCTGAAACCTAAACCCTAATCCCGAATCGTAAAGCCCCACTCAGGCTCCCGGCAGTTGCGCCAGCAGCGACACCCACGCCACGGGAGGTGGCCCGTCTTAAGGAGCCCCTGACAGTCACGAATAATAGACACTAGCATAAGTCATAAGGTGATTTCCATTTCAGTAAAGTTAATCCAGGCTAATTAGGGACTATGGAGGATTCTATAGCCATCAGCGTAAGAACACATGTTATCATCACTAAACTTGCTTGCTGCTATTGTCCTTCTTCTTACCTATCATTAGACCTATGCTTACTATACACCTCTGATCATCACTACCATGATTGCTCGTACCCTAAACCCCTGAAACTCTATACCCTGAAACCCTAAACCCTAAACCCCCCTAGACCCTAAAAGCCTGATTTATGCGGTTTGGGATTTAGACTGTTTCGCGGCTTCCGGGCGCGGGGTCCTGGGCTTTCAAGGTTGGCGTCTGAAGCCGAGGTATCATCCAAGGCTTGGGGTTTTAGGTTTAGGGATTTCGGGTTTAGGGTTTGGGTTTTAAGGTTTTGGGGTTTGGATTTTAAGGTTTAGGGCTTAGGGTATATTCGGAAGATCAGAGATTTCCGGCCGTAGGCTTGTTTGGGTTTGGCTTAGGCTAGGGATCAGCCAGGCCCGCGGCCCGGCGTATTGTGAGCCGTAGCTGGACAAGTAGCCCACGGAACAGACCAAGACGCCTCTGCGTGAAGGCTTTAGCGTTTAGGGTTGGTGCATCATTTGGCAGAACCCTTTTTGAGCTGAGGCCCGCATGCCAAACCCTAAACCTTAGTTTTACTGTGCATTGGGAAGTTAAGGCATGGAATACCTCCAGCGGCCTGTGTGCACAATGCGGTTGCTTTCAGCAATGGATGCTACAGCCATACCCTCATCAGATCCTCATGGATCTAATTGGCTGGAATCAGGCCTTCTTGAATGGCCCATGGATTGTTACAACTTTTATGACTTTGGTGAACGATTACCATCACGCCGCTCGTGGCCCTGCTGATGACTAGCCATGATCCCTAGAATTTCCACTTCCCTTGACCCTGAAACCCCAAACCCTAAACTCCAAAACCCTAAAACCCTAAACCCTAAAACTCTAAACTTAAATCCTCAAACCCTAAACCCTAAAACCCCAATCTCTAAATCTTAAGACTCTAAAACCCTAAAACTGTAAAACTCTAAAACTCTAAACCCTACAACCCTAAACAGCCTAAAACCCTATACCCTCAACAGCCTATATAATCTGGGCCCGGCGCTATCAAACCCATAGGAGAGGTCAATGAAAAAGGCGAGGCCATACGACCTGGTCAAGCATCCAAAGAATAAAAGCCCAGATCTCTCCCAAACTTTTGGGTTTCAGGGTTCAGGATCACTGCCACAATTCTGACTACTGGTATTGCTAACAAAAGAGGGACTAGGGGCCAGGCACCCCAAGCATCTACCTTTTGGGTTGCTATCCGGGAACTTAACGTAAGGAATTTCTCAGCAAAGGGGAGTCCTCGGGACTCCAAGAAATGAGGAGATTATGTGGGAATTGTGGCGGTCCTAGGAGGGATCATATACGGATTATGCGGACAAGCTTTAACACGAATACTGGTGGAATACTGGATTTTCCTTGCAGCACTTCTGGATCGGACATGGAGGCACATAGACAAATTTCAATTCTGAGGGACTGTAGAAAACAATCTGGTTATGAAGTTGGGTTTCCCCTACTTAGGCTTAACTTAACTATAAAACCTAAACCCTCATCCCTTGTAAGTCTCTACAGCCTCTACATATCATTATGCACGACCTGGTGACCCTCCCAAAGACCCAAAACCCTAAAACCGCAGACCTACACCCCAAAACCCTGAAATCCCACACCTAGACCCCAAACTCTCAAACCCCAAACACGAACCTCAAATCCTCAAACCCAAACTCTCAATCCCCAAAACCCCTTAACGAAAACAACAAACCTAAACTCAAAACCCTAAACCCCAAACCTACCAAACCTTGAACTCGGGCCCGGGCAAAGAGACTTTAATTGCGCTGCGGCCACGGGTGCGCGTCGCAGCGAATGCCTAGCATTGGGTTTTAGGGGTCTAGGCTATTAGGTTTAGGGTTTAAGGTCTAGGGCATAACGCTTAGGGTTCATTCTTTTGGCCTTACGTTGTCGGGCCTAGGGCTGATCATGGGTCACCTAACCACGCCAATACACCCCCGCCCAAGGTTTACACTTAATGAAGCTTATTTCGGGAATCTTTGGGGGTGGATGGGATAGGGTTCAAGGTGTAGGGTATGGGTTGGGGGATTTAGAATTTAAAGTTTGTTGCGATTTGGGGTTTGGACATTTAGGGCTTAGGATCAGGTTTAGGTACGAAGGGCCATGCATGATTTTACGCATCAACGGGTATTTTCATTGACGAGCACGGAGGCCGGCATACTGGTGAGCAAAATGAAAACATACCTCTAAACTGTCCCGTGCACAAAGGCAAGGGGATGGCGCGCAAGCGTAAAAAGAATTGCATGGTTGCAACAGGGGCCTCTTGCATTGTCCCTAAACACTCGAATGGTTAAAACATCATTGACGCTCAAAAAGAGACTTGGAAATAGATGCCCTTGGCTTCAAACCTTATGTTTAAACACTAGGCCCTACACCTCAAATCCTACAAACCCCAAACCCTAAACCCTACTCCCCAATCCTTTATCAATCCCTAACCCCGAAACTGTCAGACCCCTAAACCTCCAACCCCTTAACCCCAAGCACTTAAACAATAAAACCCTAAGCCCCTAAACCCCTAAACCCTTAAGCAATACACCCTCCAACCCCTTTCAAACCCCAACACGTCAGATCCGTCGCCTCCCTGTAGCTCTGCCAGAGCCCCTGGAGTGCCGGGGGCTCCGCGGTCTCCAGAAGGGGCGTCGCCAGCGAGGCCTCCGGTGGAAACGATGCTCCTACTTTGGGCGTTAGGAATTTAGGGGTTCAGGGTTTAGGGTTGAGGACTTTATGAGGTCTAGGATTTAGGCTTTAGGGTGTACGGGGTCTAGGATTTAGGGTTTAGGGCTGCAAGGGTTTTGGGGTTTAGGATTTAGGGGGTTTGGGGTTTAGGGTCTTTCCGATTAACATGTATACAGATCTACAGCTATGCATGTACTATTCTTATTGCAATTATTTGCGGTCTTTTGGGGGTCTTCTTAAGATCTGTGGCTACAACATGGTTTCTTGTAAAACAGAGCGTTGACTGCGGATGACTACCATAGTCCTGCTGTATTGCGTTACTTGATGCCTAACTCACCAAAAGCTCTTAAAAAGAAGTTGGGACTGTATTTCCACGCCTTCCTCTGGATGCCCCAATCTTTGAGGCTGGTCAGAATGGCCTTCAAGCGTGAATGCACATGTCGCGAATGAATCTCTCTGACAAGTTCCGACTTCCCTGCAACCCCCCCTACTTAAACGTTTACAGAGTTTAGGGTTGAGGGCTAAGGTTTTGGAGCTTAGGGTTTAGGGTTTTGGGGTTGATCCTTGATACCAGCTACGACATCGCAAAGGGCGCCAGCAACGCGTCCCTCGCATCCCGCCTGAGAGCCTTCCCCCCAATCCCACTTCTCGTCCAGGCGCTTCTCCTGCCAGTCACAGGGCTGTGCTTGGATAGTCGCATGAGTACTGTGTGTAGCACTGTTCATGGAGGAAATCTTGGACCGCCTCAAGTCCCTCAGACTCTAGGGACTTGAGGTGGTGCAAGATGTCATCCATCAACAGTATCAGCAGTTCTAGTAGCAGCAGTTGTTGTGGTAGTTGTGGTTGCCGTAGAAATCATACTAGGAAGCTTTGCAACCCTGAAACCCACCAGACTCCGAGCCCTTAACCCCAAACTTTAAACACTGTAAGCTAGCAAAACCTATTTCCTAAACCCCAAACTCTAAACCCCATACCCTAAACCCTAAACTCTAAACCTTCAAAACCCACAACTTAAACCCTAAAATCCCTTTTTCCCCAGACGGGGGGGCTCCAGGCCCTGCTGCAGCTCCACAGCCAAGCCATGCACCTGTGAATGGAGTTCAGGGGTGTTGGGGCTTTAGGGGGTTTAGGGTTTTAGGGTTTATGGTTTAGGGTTTAGGGGGTGGGGGTTTTCGGGTTTGGAGTTTCAGGGTTTGTGGTGCAACTCCCTTAAAAGGGATTAGATGCGGAGTATAGAGTATGTGGGGATTATGTAGGGTATATAGGGTTTTGCGATATTATCCCCCAATCGCGGTGGATCAAAGGGAAAAGAAATGGCTTAGCACTTATTGCTTCCTACTTGGGATATTATGTTAAAACAAACAAGATGTTAACAGAAATCCTTGCTCGGATTAGCGCTTAGGGTTCGTGGTGAGTCTAAAGGGAAAGGAACAGGAAACTTAGATGGAAACTAGGTTTATGTAGGACCTGGCTTGTAGGGTTCAGGGTTTGGGGTGCAGGGATTAAGGCTGAGGGTGCAGCGTGGGGAACTTAGGGTGAACTTAGGGTGAGAGCTCGAGAGTTTGAGTCAAAGGAACCGTTCCTCCAAGAGTATGGAGGCATTACATACAGAGACAATGCATACCTGATCTCCGTCGGGATGACTTTTCCATGGATTTCAGCACTTTGGTTATAAAGCACCCTGCCATATCTTAAACAAAAAGCTCTGGACACTCTTTTTCGTGAAGCCGCTTGCAGTTCAGGCCCAGACCAGGAACAGAAACGATCCCATCTCGGATCGCGCGCTGGCGAACCTGAGCAGAACGATCGCTCTTTTGTCGTCATCTGGTGTCACACGAAATGAGGATGCTCCCCAAATATACGAGAATCCTTGCAGTATCGTAGGGAACAACATAGCGGGACCACCACGTTTTGCCCAAACCCTAAACGCAAGTTTTACCCCAAAACCAAACGTCTCCACCCTAGAGCGAAAACCCGAAACCCTGCACCCCAAACACCAAACCAACAATACCCAAGGCAGCGGCATATCTGGATCTGTGACATCGCCCGCGCCACTGCTCTGGTGGAACTGCCAAGGGTCCGGTATCAAGGGTTCAGGCTCAGGGTTCGAAAGGTTTCTCGAAGTATGGATACTTTTCGGCCGAACCCACAAAAAGTTCGCTGTGGATGGCATCCATGATGGTTTGGCCTACTTCGGCCATTTTGTCATGAAGTGTCATCGGAGCGTGCAACTAGCTTCTTGCTTGCCAATTCTGGGTTAAACAGCACCTACCAGTATTTTCATTGCTCTGTTGTTTCCCAGCGTGCTCCTCTGATTTGGGCCACGAGTTACTCCGGGTCATCGCATTTTGAAGGGTGTGCTGAGGCGCTTTGCGGTTGCCTCTTCCTCCACTCACCGCCCTCAACCCTAAACCCTAAACCGTGCATAGCAGCTACTCGTCAAGCCGTTCTGCAGTCTCATGCAAATGCAACGGAGAATTTGGTAGTTCCCCTAAATAGGTGGACTAATATGGACCCGAAAATACTGTAGTCCTTCTGTAGCGGTTTAGGGTTTAGGGTTTAAGGTCCTTACTATGGGTACCCCCAAGAAAGTACGTACCCCTACTTTTGGAAACCCCCAACTTACCTCAACAACCGTGGGGCCAGGTCAAAGCCACCGCTTCCTCAAGAGACAAGGTGCCGTACTCCTGGATCCACCCCTGAACTCCAAACTCTTCACCTTAACACCCTAAACTTCTAAACCCTAAACCCCCTAC